AGAAGAAGAAGAAGAAGAAGAAGAAGAAGAAGAAGAAGAAGAAGAAGAGAAAGAAAACTACAGGTGAACATTCCTTATGAACATAGATTCAAAAATACCAATAAAATACTTGCAAACAGAATACAGATATATATCACAAAAAATATGTATCGTGACCCAGATAATGTTATTCCTAAGGTAAAGGGGTATTTCAACACAACACACATTAAATCAATAAATGTAATAAACTATGTGAGTGGACTTAAAGACAAAAATAGCATAATCATGTCAATAAAAAGCCTTTGACAAAAATCCAGTATACCCTCATAATAAAAGTCCTAAAGAATATTGAGCTAGAGGGAACATACCTCCACCAAATAAAAGCTACATATGAGTATATATGAGAACCCCACAACCAATGTCATCCTAAATCAAGACAATTTTTGAAGCAATCCCACTAAAGTCAGTAACTAGATGGAGTAAATATAATGTTTATCTCCATGTTAAAAGGAAGATATGGTCACTAAGCCTCCAATCAAATCATTAGTAAATATCAAAGCCACAATTCAAACTTAAGTGTAGTCTATTTTAAAAAATTTAAGTTCTTTACACATTAAGAAGGACTTGATGGCAGGTGTTTACTTGGAGACAAAAAAGAAAATATCTGATGTGAAAAAGTGCCAGTAAATACAATCAGTACTAAATAAATCATGAAAAGAATATTGGCAGTTTATATCATTCTGAAATGGAATATTTTAAGAGAATCCCCGAGCCAGAAAATCTAAGTCTGAAGTGTCTGGAGCAAAGTAATAAGTGTTGAAAAAGTGAATAATAACTTGTCATCACACTCAAAGGTCATGTCTAAGTCTATGAATTGGTGAATCAAAGGTTAGAAGTAAATATGTACAGGAGGTGGGGTGCATTATGATGTGAGTACAGATATAGTCAGACTATTCTAGGCTAGCTGCTATAATGAATGATTGATAAGCATGTCAATTCAACACAGTGGAATTTCGTTAGTCTTGTGTCATAATACATGGAAAATACATGTATCAGAAAAAAACGAAATAATGACTATTCTATGTCAAAAAATTATTTGTGCTCTGGGATAACATGAAGTATCATCATGCCTTTCCATTAGAAGAAGATAATAGAGATATGTGTTTAGAATTTATTGGGCTATACTTGAAATTTTCACTCATGTTTCTTTGACCATAGTTCAGTCACATGACTGACAAATTTCAAGGACTGTTAGAAGAGGCATCAAATTCATATTTCTACAAAGTGATAATAGAATTTAGTGACACACTAATAGTTTCTGCTCCTGAAGGACAAACAACATGTGCCATGCTTAGGGCTGAGTCACTCAGCATTTCCTGCATAACTGAAATTGAGCACATGATCATAGTGTACATATATAGCTTCTCCATGTTGTAAATTGCTATTTTGTGTCAATTCATCAGAATTCTCCAAATCTACATATATTCTGAGCTTTTATTGGTCCCTAACTCTCATTTTAGCCATAGGATGTGCTTTCATCAGTATGAGACAGAAGTGACAGCATACAAGTCCAGGCAGAGCACAGGCCTCTAGAGACTTTGGGTTTTGTTTTCTCTTTTGTCTGTTTCCTATGACAAAAAAAAGAATATGCTTCCATTGTTCTCAGAAGAAAGGTTAAGATTCTACACAGAGCCTTACCAACCTAAGACAGAAGTTCATTGCTTTTGGTAATGCATATTCCATAATGGGTAAAGAAGGCATTCTTGTCAGAAGGACCAAAGACAGGCTCAGTCTTGTTTATGCAATAAAAAAGGGGGAGATGTAGAGAGCTTTTGGGACTGCCTGGCAGGAATCTGACATTGGCCAAGGACAAGGACGTGGGATATAGGCAGGAATCTGACATTAGACTAGAACAAAGAAGTAATTTCAGGCAGGAATCTAAATCCTGAGCTAAAACAAAGAAGTAATTACAGGCAGGAATATAAATCTTAGGCTAGAGCAAAGAAGTAGGCTTCAAGCATGAAAATGACTTTGGGCTAGGACAGGGAAGTATGGTCAGATATTTTGGTCATCCTGATAAGCCCTTAGAAATAGTGATCATAGGAACAATCACAGGACTCTGTTTATTGCCTTGCTTATTCTTTTACTATTCATGTTTATTATCTTGCTTGTTCCTTGACTATTTGCATCTATTGTATTTCAAGTTTTCAACCTAGAACTGACCTTAATACTTGCATGAAATCAAAATGCTATAAAAGCAAAAGGAGGAGGAAGTATGGGATAGGAGGTTTATGTGGGAGGGAATGGGGAGAGGGGTAACATCTGAGATGTAAATAAATAATATATCCAATAAAACAAAAGTATGACCAGATGAGGGCAATTTGAGCTGATCATGTTGGAAGCATCTGAATGTGCCATTTGACTACTTAAACATATTAAGATGATTTGCAGTTGGTTTTACTTTTCTTAGAATCCCATGGCATCAAATGTCTTTCTATTGAAAAAGAAAAAATGATATTATAGAGAGGGAAAAGGTAAATGTTATTCTCAATTTCTAGGTAAAGCTGTCAGATCGAGGAAGTTTTTGACATTTCATTATAAGTAGAAGTACTTTGTGTAGTCTTCATTTTATACTCAAGATAACTTTGCAGTTCAGTACATTTGTTCTAAATTCAGGCTCCCATCAAAAGAAAAGCAAAAACAATTAGAAAGAGAGACTTTTGTTTGAAATAAGTATGACTGCATAAAATGTATTGATAAAAACAGTGAATAATCTTGATCTCTTGATAAATTACCTACTCTAGAGAGCATGGGCAGCTCTTGTAGCATCTATCGAGAAACAAAGAGATCCTGTCAAGATGACATCTGCTTCTTCAGTGGAACATATTAGGAGTCATGAGGTTTTAAATATGACACACTGAGCAGCATCATGTACTTAATCAGCTGCCAAGGAGGAGTTTGCCTTTCTTCTTGGGAATTCTTTGATTCTAGAATGTAAAACTTTCCATGGAAACTGTAAGGCAATGTTCTTCCTATGTGGTTGCAAACCCCTAACCCCTTCAGCTCCTTCATTCCTTTCTTTAACTCCTCCATTAGAGACACCATTCAGGATCCTGTGCTCAGTCCAATGGTTAGATGTCAGCATCCACCTCTGTATTTTTCAGGCTCTGGCAGAGGCTCTCAGGAGACAGTTATATCAGGCTCCTGTCAGCAAACACTTCTTGGCATCCACAACAGTGTCTGGGTTTGGTGACTGTATGAGATGGATCCTCAGGTGGGGCAGTCTTTTAATGGCCTTTCCTTCAGTCTCTGCTTTACACTTTGTCTATGTATTTGATCCCATGAATATTTTGTTCCCCTTTCTAAGAAGTACAGAAGCACCCACATTTTGGTCTTCCTTCTTTTGAGCTTCATGTGGTCTGTGAATGGTATCTTGGGTATTCCAAGAATTAGAGCTAATATCCACTTATCAGTGAGAGTACATACCATGTGTGTTCTTTTGTGATTGGGTTACCTCACACAGGATGATATTTTCCAGTTCCATCCATTTGCCTAAGAACAATTTCATGAATTCATTGTTTTAGCTGTGTAGTACTCTATTGTGTAAATGCACCACATTTCCTGTATCCATTCATCTGTTGAAGGACATCTGGGTTCTTTCCAATTTCTGGCTATTATAAATAAGGCTCCTAAGAACAAAGGGGAGCATGTGTCCTAGTTGTATGCTGGAGAATCATTTGGGTATACTCCCAGGAGTGGTATAGCTGGATCCTCAGGTACTACTATGTCCAATTTTCTCAGGAACTACCAGACTGATTTCCAGAGTGATTGTACCAGCTTGGAATTTCACCAACAGTGGAGGAGTGTTCCTCTTCCTTCACATCCTCACCACCATGTGGTGTCACCTGACTTTTGATCTTTACCATTCTGATTGGTATGAGGTAGAATCTCAGTGTTGTTTTCATTTGCATTTCCTTGATGACTAAGGATGTAGAACATTTATTTAGGTGCCTTTTGACCACTTGAGTTTCCTCAGTTGAGAACTCTTTGTTTACCTCTGTACCCCATTTTTGAATTGTGTTATTTGATTGTCTAGAGTCTAATTTCTTGAGTTCTTTGTATACATTGGCTATTAGTCCTCTATCAGATGTAGGATTGATAAAGATCTTTTCCCTATCTGTTGGTTGCCATTTTGTCCTAATGACAGTGTCCTTTGCCTTACAGAAGCTTTGCAATTTTATGATGTCCCATTTGTCAATTCTTGATCTTAGCACATAAGCCACTGGTGTTCTGTACTGGAACTTTTCCCCTGTGCCCATGTATTCAAGGATCTTCCCCACTTTCTCCTCTATTAGTTTCTGTATATCTGCTTTTATGTGGAGGTCCTTGATCCACTTGGACTGGAGCTTTGTACAAGGAGATAAGAATGGGTTGATTTTCATTCTTCTACATGTTGATGTCCAGTTGAACCAGCACCATTTGTTAAAAATGCTATGTTTTTATAACAAGGACATACGCTCAACTATGTTCATAGCAGCCTTATTTATAATAGCCAGAAGCTGGAAAGAACCCAGATGTCCTTCAACTGAGGAATGGATACAAAAAATGTGGTACATTTACACAATGGAGTATTACTCAGCTATTAAAAACAATGAATTCGAGAAATTCTTGGGTAAATGGATGGAACTAGAAAATACCATCCTGAGGGAGGTAAACCAATCACAAAAGAACACACGTGGTA